GAGCCAACCTTTCAATATGGTAAAATTCATATGCTCACAAGAATGCTTTTTGCTAATGACAATATCTCATGTTATAATGATAAAGCTCATATCTAGATAAAGTATGGCGAAGAAAATCAAAATCCAACCCAAGAGGTATAGCAACAACAACAAATATTCCTCAAAAGTTAAATCTTTACCACATGGATCATTTCTTTTAACCACCAAGAGAATATCAAGCTACATCAACTCTTCAATCATAAAATAAATCATTCATTGCCTCTAAGAGTTTTAAAACAACATAAAAGATCTATGTGTGGAAACCACTATTCTCTACACCAACAAAACTTCGCCAAGTAAAAGATGGACAAGATGCATCCACTTAAGGAAGAAGAGTAATTAGATGCAAGAGAGATGAACTTAGAGGGCTCACCTCTTTCACCTTGTCATAAAGACTAATGAAAGTCAAGGTCTCCAATATGTAAAGCGGTTCAACATCATATCAAAAATCATCGGAGAGCGCATTGCAAGGAGGGTCTACCGCATAATATTAATAGTATGACAACAAAAAACTGAGAGCAAAACATTTCTCTAAATGTTTGAAATACATTTTTTTAAAAGCATCGAATACATGTGAGATCATAATCCAATGCATGACAGATCTTAAGAATCATATTAAAAAAAAAAACACTCTCATGTCAAAAATCTATAGAATAAATAAATTATGCCAATCCACATGTTTCCAAAACACTTTCCAGACAATATTTCTTTGAGATCTTTTTATCAAATACACATAACATGTGATAATTAAACAAAGGGATATGTGAATAATGATTTGAACTTAACACCATATACATCACATGGCATGAGAGCATTGCATTCCAAGATAATCCAAATTACCAATTTCTCCACCAAAAAATAATAGAAAACAACCCAAGAAACTAAATAAATCGGCGACACATCTATTCATTTTCGCAAGCAAATCTATCAATGCACCCGGATCTTGAACTAATCTAACGATCATGTAGGAATGATAGAAATATGCTTTAGAGGAGACTTAACCACTATAATACTTTTTCCAATACTTCAAATAAAGAATGAAACTTCATGGCATGACAAAGATTATTGCATTCAATTACAATTTCTAAGGAGGAAATCTCCCAAAGAAGGCAAGAGTTCCTAATACTTCATCACTAAGGTAGAGTAGGAATGAAATTCAATAAAGCATAAGAGCACCCCAAAATTCATCAATATATATATATATATATATAAAGGCTTCATTTTACCCTGAAAGATTTGCATATCTGTAACAATTCCATTTTCATATGCCCATAATGCATAACATAGGCTCTATCAAAGAGTTGAGGTCATGTGAGATAATCAGACTCATTTGGCTCCATCACTTAGGATCAAATGATTTACAATTAATATTGAAATATCATTCTCTTGTTCTTCATTTCTCAAAAAAGAGAAACTCACAAAATTTTCTATTAACTCATCTTAGATATCAATTGACCAAGAATTTAAATCTAACCAGCTTCCAAATAGAGATAAAAAATAAACTCCATAAATTCATCATCCAAATTTTTCAGCAAGCCAAAATAAAAGCACAACAATCATTACTAACTCCACCATCAAAACTAAAAGGAGAAAGGGGTGCATCTGCTTAAGAAAGAATAAGCAATTTAATGTAAAAGAAAATAACTTAGAGAAACCACCTATCCCACTTAGCCACAAAGACTAATGAAGGTAAAGATCACCTAGAAGCAAATTTATAACTAAAAGCTGGTTAGGGAAAATGTTTTAATAATTGAAAGGGTGTTTGCTCTCATAATTTTGTCATTATTGATTTTAACATTATCAAACAGATTTTCCTTATAACATGCTTTCCGATTGTTTATGATATGGTGCCCAATTTCTTCACATATTAGTGGGTTGATAATGATAGTCAGTCAGTGGTAACGGAGGCAGTCAAGCATAGGTCTAGTAGTGGTCAAATAGTGATGGTAGGGCGGTAGTAAGTTAATGACAATTGAGCGGTGATGCCTAAGTGAAACTTCATGATTCTTTAAGCTTATGAGCTCTCTTGAATCTTAAGCCAAAATTCAAGTCCTAAGACCCTTTTCATATAGAGATTGAAGGGTTATAGTTTTTTGAGATTGTCATGACCTATAAATATAATCAAAACCTAGAACACTCGATTGGATAACTCATATTAATTTCCTTAATCATTGACCATTTCTGTAGTGTTCAAGTGCTTTAACGATATCAAAATAAAGTGATCTTAGGTTCATTTCATTAATCTCGTCTAGATGCTTGATTTGTCTATAAATATGTGAAATTTAAAGTTCATTTGATCCCCCAATTAAATCCCAAGATTTTATATTATGCTTCAGTGCTTAATCTGGGTTTATTCAGACTCAAATTGGATAACTTTTAGTGTCATGCAATTTGATTATAATTTTGCTAAAATAGTGTTTGGAAGTTTCCAATTTAAATATGCATAGAGATTTGTTCCCAATCAAGTTGAGTTTTGATGAAATTTCAATAGATATTCCTAAAATCAATTGGGATAATCCACTTGAATGACTTGCCAAGATTGAGCATTTATGTTAGTGTCATAATCTATCAATTACACATCATTTTATAATTGTTAGCACCAGTGGACGCCTTCGAACAAATTATAGAATTTTTGTAATTCTTTAAAAAAAATATTATTTGATATTTTTTCACTCTTTATATCATCAATATCGTCATGAAATTCTCAACTTATTCTTTAAAATCAACCCTTATTGGTTGTTGACCATAACTTTAGAAGTTTGTCTAAAGAGACGATAGAAAAGTTGAATAGGCAAACGGTTGAAGCAACGCAATCGATGGACAAGATTGATCGAACATGTTCCTAGCCAAACAAATGACCACCATATTCATGATTACCAAGAGAGGAACCCCATAGTTTTCTCATGTACCTACTATTCAACATTTTTTTGTTAACATCCTTATTAAATTTAACGCACAAACTTAAAGTGCTTTAGAGATTATGGCTAAATGGATGGCCCCTGCCTCCATTGGATCAATTTGGAAGTTTGATCTTGAGGATGAGGCCATCGTGACGAACTTTTATTTGGTCAGGTGACCTGACGTAGCTCTACGTTCGGACGCTTGTAAAATAGTGCCACGTGTTCTTACTCTTTAACGCGCGGCCTGACAACCCAACCCGGAACGGACCCGGGATTGCTATGTTCGCGTATTGCTAGGTATTGATCGATTTTGCTCAGCAATAATGAGAAATACCATTCTGTGAAGACCAATACCGAGCAATATCGAGCAATACCAAGCAATACCGAGTTATGCTATGTATTGCTCTTCACATAATGATATTTCTCGTTATTGTCGAGCAATACCTAGCAATACGCGAACATAGCAATCCCGAGGTCCGATCCGGGTCCGGTCGTCGGGCTGCGTGATAAATAGTAAGAGCACGTGACGACATGTTATTGGCGTCCTAACGTAGAGCTACGTCAGGTCACCTGACCTAATAATTGTTCCATCGTGACACGGTGAGTAATGATGCGAATTCATTTGTGTTAGTTTATTAATGATGGTGGATTAATTAGTAGCATAATTAGTACAACATAGTCATTGCAAGCAAAAAAATAACTCCAATTGGAGAGTATGAGTGCATGATGAATAAAGAGTAAAAGTTCCCCTTCTTATATCTCCCATCTTTGTTCTTTATTTGGAGAGTTTTGAACAGCTCAAAGTGTTCAAACAGGATAGAGCACGAAAGATTAAAAGTTAGTTTAGTATTGACTTAATATTCATATATGAATCACATGTGAGGTAATTATTAGACTTAGTATGTAATATTTTGAATATGAGTTAAGGGACATTGCACTAGTTGGTGGTTATATAAGTTGAAGCAAGAAAGCTTAATTAGTAATCAAAGTATAAATCAATCTTAAGATTTTGTGAAAATGCTGGAAAGCAATTGATAATGATCAATCTTATTTTATTATGTCCTAATTTTTTGTCGATATTTAACTTGAGAGGCTTATGACTTCTTGTTTGTTTAGTTTGGGTGTTCTAAGATTCTCGACAGGGTTTGTGACTTAGGCTTCGTTTGAGAGGCTTTCTTACTATTTTTTAAAGCAGTTTTTTAGTACAAAAATTAAAAAATTTGTACAAGCAAGCTGCTTTAATAAGTAGTTAGAAAGTCGTACCAAACGAAATTTTAATATTAATGTGGGTGTCTCTAAGATTCTCGAGAAGAGCTTTTATTATGTGCGGAGAACTGCGGGAGAACCGTCCGGTTAAGCGCTGGGTACCCAGCACAGGTACCGAGCTCTATATCGAGCAATGGGGTGACACATTTTTATTGGTCTCCGGACGCTCTCCGGACTCCGCACATAATAATAAATCTCTCAAAAGGGTTTATGTGTTATGATAAATTTATTGTGATAAATGAGTTAAAATTTTATTGTTAGTTAAATATTTATATGAATTTGAAAAAGGATAACTTATATACGTAATAATGAATTCTTTTATATTTATACATCTAACACCCTAATTTTAAAATTACATAAAAATATCACTAATATTATCTTATGTAAAGAGGAATATACCTTTTTTATGCATAGATTATTAAGATATCATAAAAATAAAAATATCACCATTATGGAGTATTCTTTACGGATACCGGATGGGAGAACCGTCCAATTAAATATTGAGTACTAAGTGGTATCGAGTGCGGATACTGAGCTGTATATTCAAAAATGAGATGATATGATGCATTTTTATTGATCTCCAAATGCTCTCCGTATTCCGCGCAGAATAATAAATCTACCGTTATGTGAGAAAATTATACATTTATATTGTTGGGAAATGAACTGATAGGGTTGGAGATGTGTGCATTAATGACAAGATAAGGAGAGGTGGCATTTTTATAATAAGTAAATAATTTAATATTATTTTATTATGTGAAGAAATATAGTATTTAGAAATGTTATTTATGTTTTATTTTTCACCTCTGAACTCGAATCAGACTGTAATTTCAGCGGGGATATGCCGCATCAATGACGAAGCTGGGACCCGAAGCATCAGATCCTCTCCTTCCTCCACAACCAGCGCCGCACTTCCCCTTTTCAACTCGTCCACCACCGCAAGATTCCCATCCCCCTCCTTACATCCTTCTCCCCGCCTTCCCCGGACGCCATATTCGCCGCCGACCTTGCTGCTGCAATTACAGCTCTTACCTCCTCATATCCGCCGCCATCGTGACCCTTGTCGGCCTCACCCTTTTCCTCATCTGGCCCACCGACCTGGACCTCCATGTCGCCCGCATCCGCATCGACCGCGTCCGCGTCTTTGCCGACCCCAACGACACCATTTCGATTGATCTCAGCCTCCGCATCCGCGTGCGCAACCCTAACTTCTTCTCTCTCCATTACGATTATGTAGATGTTGGCATCGGCTACCGCAGCGAGCCTCTCGGATCCATTCAGTCTGCCGGTGGTCAAATACCGACGCGAGGGGTTTCTTACGTGGACGCTGAGTTACGGATCGACGGTGTCCAGGTGATCCATGATGTGTTCTACTTGATTGAGGATTTCGTCAGAGGATCGATCCCCTTCGATACTGTTAGTGAGGTCAAGGGGATATTGCACCTTTTCTTCTTCAATATCCCCATTAAGGCAAGCTAAACCCCATTTTTATCCCTTTTATTTATAGTTTTTGGTTCCTTGTTCTCCTTAGTGGCTTACAGTTGATGATTATCTGGAAGTAAGGACAATGGAGAAGCTAGGTTTTCCTTGAGAAAATATGACCTTATCTGCTTTATTTTTCACAAATCTCGTGGGTTATAAATTTATTTTGTGTTGTTATTTCTTGAAAGAAATTTTAAATTATATCTATTGTTGTATATTAACTTGTCGTGTGTTATGCCAGAACCTTCTGAATAAGAATGGACAAACATCAAGAGAAAAAAGAAGATAGAGAAAGAGAGCTTAGATAGAAAAGATCTGAGATTTTACTAGATTGCTGTTATGTAATACCCTAGGCTCATCCTCTGAACCCTCATTTATAGGTTTAGATTGAGATTCAATGCTATATGAATGCTTACAAGTTACATCCTAGTAAAATTATATAACAAGATTTAACAAATGCTTGTTTTAAAATAAACAAGTCCAACTAGCTTATAGGTATATGTTTACATCATTACATGGATAACTTTTGATGAGCTTCTACATGAAGGATGAGATTCTTCGAAAATAATTCCTTGACGAAGTACCTAGCAACTTCATTCTAAGATGGTAAGTAATCTTAATTACTTCAATTGACAAAATCATTAGCAAATAGACCCTTTCTCTGGCAAGATTGATTTGAGTAATAAATGTTGAATTGATTTGTTGAGTTTAAAGGTGAATGGTCAAGTAACACAGTTAAGTGACTTTGTTCAATTGATGATAAATTACTAAAATATATTCATAACGTGACTTGATTAACCTTGCCCAGAGGACTATGGGTGCACACCTATTCCTTCATGATTTTATGATGATGAGAAAAACATTTATCAAGGAGCTTATGATGTCTAACCATAGGATTTTTGCTAATTACTATAATCACGGCCCTTAAGAAATTTTGAAATGTTTTGACTTTATAGCCTTGAACCAGGAATTCTGCTAATTACTTTGGTCCCAAGGGCACTTATTGCCAAAGTTTTATAAGTGCCACTTGGAAGCCTTTAAAAGCTACTTGTTGCCACCTCTTGGATTTTTTTTTTAATAAATTTGCGGGTATATATGTATGGGTGCATCTATTAACGACAATAATCATGAGCTACTTGTTGCCGTAGTTTCTTACTATTTAAATGTGTGGTAAAACTTGCAATTTTTAATTAGATATGAAAGGATTTTGATGAATTTTTTTTTTTTTTTGAATTTTTTGTCATTCTTGGGTTAGAAATAAAACCCAGAGGCATGCAAAATTTTTGAGCATTGAGTATTAAAATAAAATTTTACTTTTTCTTAATTTTTTTTTTGTGTTGTTGGATGTGTATTTTTTTTGCTTTCTTTGCTGTTTTGAAGACCACTTTTGAGGAACGTCTCCTTATATTGACTTATCTCCTTGTATTGGCATGGGGCATGAATATTCTTTTCAGTGATTATATTCTTTTTTTCTATTTAATTGTTTAATGATTTATGTTTGTGATGCTAATTTTTTTTTCAAGCTAACAGGGTCATCCACATTTGGGAACCATTCATCATATGTTCTAAAGTTTCAAACAAGTTGAATGTGGATGAGTTGGTTCATTTTTGGCTCAATTCATTAACTACTGAGCCAAATACAAGTAAGCTCAATTTCATTAATCAGCTAAAAATATATTGTTTGACTTTAGCTAATTTGTTAACACTGCCATTATTATGTCCCAAGTCTTGGATGAAAAATGTGGAGGGTTGTGTTAGGTAGTCGACAACCAGTATAAAACTTGTCGAATAATCATGACACGAATCCTTTAAAAAATGTGTTAATGTTAGGGTGTCCCCTAGAAACAACGCAATGTATGACCTGAATACAACGACAAGTGTGTAAGGGCTGCTGTATAGGCGCTCAGGTGCAGTGTTAAATAGGCAAGGGTTCTCACATCAAAGACAGATGTGAGCAAAGAAGCTAGTCCATGAAACTAAAATTAGGATATGAACTTGAAATATAGGTTTTCTTATAGGAAAATTAATGTATTTAATAGATATTATGATTCATAAGAAGATAAATATTATGTGCATTTAAGAAACTAAATGGGTTGGAGAGAAGGCTAAGGAGATTTGTAGTTTAGGATTTAAATTATGATATTCGGGTAGGAGTCATACTGGAAAATGTGTAGATGTGATTATATATAAGAGTTTGAAGGATAATGTTATACAAATTAATATAATTTGCGATAGAATTAGAACTTTAAAGATTATTATTGATGCTAAGATTCTTAATATTATAAGTGTTTATGCTCTTCAAGTAGGTTTGGATATGAGTTCAAAAAGTAAAATTTTGGAATGATTTAGAAGAATTAATATAAAAGATACTTCTTGAAGAAAGAGTTCTTTTAGAGAAAATTTAAATGGACATGTGTTTTAGAGAGGTAAATGATTTTAAAATCATTCATAGTGGTCATATTAGATTTTTCTTTAGCTTATAATTTTTTAATTGTTAATACCTTATTTAAGAAAAGAGATGACCATCTCATCATTTATAAAAATGGATATATTAAAACTCAGATTGATTATTTTTTCATAAAAAAATAAATCGTTTAGATTGCAAAAATTATAATTCTAAGTAAAAATTGATGTACCCAACATCAATTATTAGTTTTAGACTTTAAGATTAATGGGCCGAAAATAAAAAATAAAGTAAAATGATATTCTAGTATTGGATTGGGACATTTAAAGAATATTAATAAAAATACTTTTGAGAGAAATATTTTAGATCTTCAGATTTTGTATGTGCATGAAGATGCTAATGTTATGTGGGAAAAAAGTGGCTAGTTATATTAAAAATATTATAAAATATGTGTTTGAAGTATCAAAGGGAAAAACTCATAATAGTAAAAATAGTTGGTGGTAAAATCCAAATGTGCAAGAAAAGATAAAAAATAAGAAGATTTGTTATGCAAATTGGTTTAGATGTAAAAATTCATATAATTGGGAAAGATATAAAGAGGCACATAAGTAATCTAAGAAAATAATATGTGATACAAAGATCTTAGCTTTTAATGATTTATATAATATATTAGATACTAAGGAGGGAGAAAGATATATGTATAAGTTAGCAAAACAAAGAGATAAGAGTAGTAAGAATTTAGTTGTGAACAACTTTAAGGATGAAGATCAAAAAGTACTTTTCTTAAAAGACGATATTCAACAAAGGTGGATGAGATCTCTCTAAATTTTGTAATAAAGAATGTGAAAATACGATTGACTTTAGTGACCTTAACACCCTAAATGAAAATAAAGATTTCTATTTTTATCGGTGCATTAATAAAACCGAAGTTAGAGAGGCTTTAAAGAAAATGATGTGTGAAAAAGCTACTGGACCTGATGATATTCCAATAGAGGTGTGGAAATGCTTAAGAGATGAAAAAAATTTTTGGCTTACTAAACTTTTTAATAATGTTTTAAAGTTTATAAAGATGTCAAAAATAAAATAAAATAAAATTAAATTAAAAAAAAAAGTTTATAAAGATGTCAGATGAGTGTGTTAATTCATATTTTTAAGAATAAAGGTGATGCACAAGATTGTGCAAATTATAGAGGAGTTAAGTTATTGTGTCATACTTTAAAACTATGGGAGCGAGTTATGAAACGTAGGTTGCAGCGTAATACTAATGTTTCTCTAAATCAATTTGGATTCATGCCCGGTAGGTCTACTATGGAAGCCATACATTTATTAAGAGGTTTGATGGAGAAATATAGAGATAATAAGGAGGATCTGCATATAATATTTATTGATTTAGATTTTAGAGAAAGCATATGATAAAGTTCCAAGAGAAGTGCTATGAAGAGTTCTTGAAAAGAAAGGAATTAATAACACTTATATTCAAATCATTAAAGATATGTATGCATGAGCTATTACTTGTGTTCAAACACAAGGTGGTTTGACCAAGTATTTTCCTATTTCGGTTGGATTACATCAAGGATCAGCCTTAAGCCATTATCTCTTTGCTTTAGTCATGGATGTTCTCCTTAGACATTTGCAAGAAGATGTACCTTGGTGTATGCTTTTTGTTGATGATATTCTTATTGATAAGAGTAGGGGATATTATCAGTAGAATTCAAGTTGGATGTTTAAAGAGGAGGAATGCATCGGGCTTGTTGTGTGATAGAAAAGTCCCCCTCAAACTTAAGAGGAAATTCTATAAGATGGTGGTGAGACCTGTAATGCTTTATGATGCCGAATATTAGCCATTAAAAGAGAAGCATAATACTAAGTTAAGTGTTACAGAGATGAGGATGCTCAGGTAGATGAGTGGCTTTACCCTTAGAGGTAGGATACGAAATGAGCATATACGTGAAAAGGTTGTAGTAGCGCTAGTGGAAGATAAGATTAGAGAGAGTCGCCTTAGATGGTTTGGTCACATAAAATGACGGTCTTCCGATGACCCAGTTAGGAAAGTAGAGGTATTAGATTTGACTTATGTTAAGAAAGATAGAAGTAGACCTAAAAAGATTTGGTTAGAAAATATTGGAAATGATCTTTCTTTATTAGATTTAAATGAGAATTTGACTTTTAACATGACAACAATGGAGAAAAACGATTCATGTAGTCAACCCCACGTAGTGGGACAAAGGCTTGATGATGTTATTGTTGTTGAAGGCTTATGCTAATTTTTTAACAGGCCAAGCATGAATAAATAGTCAAGACGTCAAGTAGAAGCACATCTAATTCATTAGTAATTTTGTTATTCTTAGCTTCAATTTTATGAAAAATAATTTATGATTAAAAAAATAAATTTGTTGAGCATCATAAAAGATAAAATATGTATTGTCAATTACTATTATGTGTATGACTATATTAAATGCTTATTTTTAATGTTGAAGTCATCACTAAACTAGCCTTTGACATATATGAATGAACATGTATAAATTTATGTATATATTTATATATAGATAGATATATTGAGCCAAACATAATTGAGATGGCTTCG